ATTTCCATTGCTATTCTAGTCTTTGGCAGGATTAGGAGGTGATCTTGGAAGCTGATTCGGGATTTCGTGGTGTGACTGTATCGAGAATTCCGAGTCGGAACTGCCCGGCGAAACCTTTGGGTGGTGGTTATTCTGTATCTCTGAAGGACTCTGCTATTACATTTTGATTTCGGGTTATTTTGGATCCAGTCGATAAGCTACTGGCCATCAGTTACACATCTAGAAGACCCAACTTGCTAACTATAGACTTAAAAGGAAGGCTTGAACAATCATTTGGTGAAAATATCTACCATTTGTTTTGTTGTAAGAACAAATGACATGCAGATTTGTCCTACCTCCAACTTTTCCTTATAAAGTACCTCTCACTCTCTATATACTTACTTTGGTATAGACATATTAACTGGCATACACCATTAACCATAGCTCGATACTCAAACTAAGCATTACTCCTTGAATATGTTGTTAATCGTGCCACTATAGCAATGGTAAAGCAGTTAGTGGTCATGGAGCAAATAGTAGTGGTCAAATAGTTGTCCCGGGATTAAGGTCTCTATTGAACGCTAAATAACCACGTTTTAAACACTAAATAACAGCCACATACCGCTTTTTGAGATGGGTTGTTTTGGTGTTAAGCAACTATTTTGTGGTCTTCTATTTTTAGAGTTTGGACCTAGTTTAGGTTCCACATTTATTCCTTCTTTGTTCATCTTCCACGTAATTGGTAATCCTCTTCCCTGTTTTGACTTTGACTCCAACACCATTAACATTTTTTGACACCGTTTTAGGTCCCGAAACGTTGTTTTCACTTTAACTATGTTTATAATAATTCTAACTTCAACTCTTTTTGATTTTTGACTAGCCACGATTCCTCAAGTTTACATTTTTTGACTTGAATAAACAACCTGACTTTGTTTAGCTAACGTTGTTGCTAACTTTTGGACATTTTGACTTTGTTTAGCCTCTGGACACTTTGATTCTATGTATTGAATACATGCAACATGTTAAGTAATGAATATATATATATATATAGGGTTGGGTTCTGGTGAGAAGCATAAGAAGTAAGAGGGGATCTCCACCCTTAGATGCACATTAGAATGAGATGCCATTAGGATGAGATGTACCAGATCAATCCCCGTATCAAGCGATTCATGGATGGGTTTGAGATTAAAGGTGATTAAGGGAATCCCTTCTTACGCTTCTAGCCTTAACTCTCCTTCTCACACGATCCTTCGCCTATATATATAATATATATATATATATATAATTCTAATTATTATACGAACCGTTATTGTTGGACACCTTTACCACAAAAAAAAATCTTTATTTGTAATCACCGTCCTGGATTTAATCCATCCTGGAAGGAGTCATCCCCTGAAGTGATGTTGGTCCTGGATTTGGATAAGCCACGATTGAAAAGGCAACTTGTTCTTGAGGGTAGTTGGCAATAGTAGCAAGGGCTGCCTTGTTAGTCTTAGCCTTTAAGTATGTTGGTTTTCCATGGAACTTCCAAATACATGAAGTGTCAGCAAAAAACGAGAATACTTGTACCAAGAGGAAGTCAGCACGAAAGATACAAGTTGGTCAAGATTGAATTTGTGGAAGTAATTAAGAGATTGCACAAGGGGAGGATATACTAGTGGAGTTGGACAGAGTGTCATCAAAGGCTTGCCAAGGCCCCGGCATAGTGAACCGCACGCTTTGGACCTTGTTTGGCGCTAGCGCACAATAATTCGATAAGGCAAGCACCTTTTGCTTGAGCCGTGAAGAGCGAGCCACAAGGCAAGGGCCTCTTTACAAAAGGCACATCAATCAATAAAAATAGACATTAGGGCAAATTTTGTATAAGATTTACATATTCCTCTATAATTGAGAGATGATAATCCTCTCTTCTTTCCGTCTTTTCTTCTTTGCTTCTACATTCTAAGATCACCAAACCAAACTTGAAAGTAGGTTCTTTTGGGGGGGGGGGGGGGGCTAGATGCAAGATGCAAGCAGATCTGACCTCAACCCCAAAAGAGTAGAGCAGTTGTTTCCATGAAGACCCTCAACATTTGCAAAAGTTTGATGAAGGCATGAAGACTAGCATATGGTGAAGCAACATGAGAAAAATAAGAAGACAAAGTACAAGTGGTTACATTGAAAACATACGAAAAATACGCCAAAAGCACATCTCTAGCCTATGCTGACATCCCTCAACCCCCAACCCTTCTTCAACCTAACCAACTTCGCTAGCTACAGTTCCCATACCTAATCTGCTATCCCCACCACCAAGTTCTCCATTCTAAGATTATTTTTAGTTCTCTTCTCTTCATCTAAGTGTTCGTTTTTCTCCTCAGAGTTTTCCTTTTGTTCTTCTACTTTGTTTCTTTGACATACAGCTGCATATTTTGACTTTTTCTTATTTTTTGTTGTGAAGTCATATAGATGTAGCATTTTCAGGGGTGTGTTCATGTGATAAATAAAAGTGAGTTCTTGTCATCTACTCACGTAAAACAGTGGAGATAACCGTAGTCTTGTCATGTTCAAGAAGCAGTAACAGTTTTCTAAAACTAATAAGATGTTTCTACTAGTCGATAGCCAAACTGAAAATAAGATAAAACTAAATTGAATACTGCTACACTAGTCTTGCCATCTAGTCCTTTGTTAAGATTAAATGACCTGCAAGTATTTTATTTTTTGGTGCTAACAGTAGACCTATTTCCTGCTTCTGAATATTGAATTTTGCGCATAAGCCTTCTATCATAGTAATTGAAACAATCAACAAAGTTCTAGTACATTCCAAGACGTAAGTTAGAGAGAGTAGTGAAGAGAGACATACATCTAAAAGTCTAGTTGGAGCATTTAGAATGCCTAAAAGTGCATGATTTCATACATGAACACAGCCACTAGCTCACAACTTAAATTTCCTGGAAAAGAATGATGGTTTTATATTGTAAAAGAAATTATTTTAACCAATAGAGTACGAGAAGACCATCCAATCAAGTGGCATTGGAAAGTAAATCGTCCTCTACAAAGAAGGCTAGGTGAAAAATAACATTTATTCCACTTCGATCATTCATCAAAACATGTCCTCATCACTTTCAGCCAGACCCTCTTCTAAGTGTTCTCTTAAAATCTAATACTGGCCTAAATAACTATAACAACACATATGCGAATTGTAGCCAACATAATCGACCAAACTCATAAAATAAAATACGAATTTAACAGAGCCCTAGATCGCAAAACCCTAAAAGAATATCTAAATCAACAAATCCATGCAACAATACTCGTTATCAGGAAAAGGCACACATGGCAATTACAATGGGAGGCAAGACTGTAAGGCGGAGCGAATCCGTGAAAGATTAGACAAAAAAGAAGAAAACAAACCCAGATGGCCGATGCGATTGGATTCGATCGATTAAGCATGAGCTGTTTTGGGGATAAGAGGGATGGTGTTGCCCTGCCCCTGCTTGTTCGATTGCTTGAGTTTCTGCATCTGGATCATCCTCTCCATTACAAGCTCATACTCGCACTTCTCATAAGTGTGGCGCTCGTTCTCGCACTTCCATGGCAGGTAAAGCTCAGATTGCCGGCACTTGTTAAGTGGAATGAGCAAGTGTGCGCACTGGTCTCTATAGGCGAGCGGCACCTTGGCTTCCACCATTTCTTCTCGTGTTGCAATCATGGGCTTCGATGATCCCTCCACCTCCATTTGCAGATTGGTGATTGAAGCTCTCCCTCTCTCTCTCTCTCCCTAGTGAAGCCGCACACCCTGTCAACACCTCCAATTTATGAATTGAAATGCAATTGATTTGGGGGTGGAGTCCTATTCGAAGCCCCAAGGATGGACCTTTTCCAATGTTATATTGTAATTTCGGATAACCCAGAGAGCCGATTGTGTAATTTGGATCTAACTCGGAGGGCTGATTGTGTAATCTGGGCCCGTTTGTAATCTTTTTCATTGAGGTACATGGTATCAAAATTTATATTGTTTTACAATTCCTAAGCATACTTCATGTATCATTTGATTTGGACAATGTTTTTTGGATTCAGTAAGATATGTTAAAAGAAATTTGATTTATAAAAAAATAGAATGGAATTTTATTTGGGTTGACCATCTGTTTGAATGGTAGATATTTGAATGAAATCTGTTAAAAAAATTGAAATTTATTTGTTTGATTTACATAATGTAGCTTTGAAATTGAATTAAATATTGCTAAATGACCAAAATATCTTTTTGAAAATTTTAAATTTTCTTATGCCCTAAAGTTGAAGAAATCACAAAAGTGAATCATGAACATATCTTACATTGAGCTCGTAATTCCATTTTTGACATCAATCCTTTAAGAACTCAAAGATTTATGGAGAAATTTGAATGTGGAGGTGAGATTGAGGATTTTGTTAGAGAGAAGGGGAGACGATTGTTGAGAAGAGAGAGATAATTTGATTATAAATTTTGGTTTATAAAATTTAGAGCAAATTACAAATTCCGTCCCTGTGATTATATGCAAATTATGGATTGAGTCTCCTAAACTAGATAATCGCATACATGATCATTGTGGCTTATTTATTATGCATTGGGTCCTTTCCTCTAATTCCACTAATATAGCCCCGTTAAGTCAAGGGTCTTTTTAGTCATCTTAAAATTTCTTTGATTTTCTTTTAAAAAGAACTAAATATATAATTTTATATTATATAAATATATAATCTATTATATATACAAATATACGAACATATGCCAATATCGTCCTTCTCTTTTGCTACGTCGACCACCCCCGTTTTGCTCCATCAACTACCATCGACCTAGACTTATCACACCTCCTTGCTGCTCTTCTACTCCAGCCAAGCGCGTCCTTCTCTACTCTATTTTTTCCTCCTCGACATGTCATTCCTCCCCATCATTCTTCTATTATCACTTTTCTTATTATCGTTATTCTCTGACATACCTTTGATAGATCCATCACGAGTAAGCAAAGAATTTTATGCTCCCCTTCGGTGACACACTCTTCTTCAATAAAGAATTGAATATGATATTGAGTAAAGAAGTGAATCAGATACTGAAAATTCTTTTGCAATTGATCGTACATTTTCATGGCTTCAAATTGCAAGTTCAAGAAAGACTGAGCAAGTAGAATGCAGAAAACTGTTTCGCCATTGTTGGGTGAAGATGTTATGGTGGTAGTGGAAGCTAATCACACTTGCATGATCTCTAAAGGGATAGAGAAATTTGGAAGTAATACGGTCGCCATTACGGTTTTGGGTCGATTTTTGAACGATCTAGCGGCAAGATCATAGTCTTTGTAGATGATTCCAAGCTACCATTTATAGGAATTAAGGAAATGATGACAATGATCTTTGATCCAAATTTTTACAGTTTCCCGATTGGTGGGTACAAAATACCAAAACATAGAAATTTGTTTCTCAAACCTTCCCCATTGTAGTAAATCAATTCCAAACAACTCATGAGAACTCAAGGCAATAAATTGATTTTAAAACAAAGGTCATCCCAAATCTCTTAGTGAAGATGTTGGGTTAAGCTGAAAAACGAAAACAAAAATGAAAAACTATCTTGGGTTTGCCATAGAAGGCTAATAAGGATTATACTCATACTGTGAGGTTATAATGGTGCTTGGTTTTATCTTTTGATATATCTAAAAAACCCATTTGGTGTTTATGTGTGTGCAAGGGTAGACGGAGGTTACTAGTCAGCTTGTTTGGTCGGCAACCACTACCAAGAACAAATCAAAATAAGAACAAATCATGATAGTGAGGGCACCCAGAGAGAAAAGTGGGAGGGAAAGGATGGGGGAGGTGGTAAGTGGTCGGAGTTTGGGAAGAGGGAGTACGGTAGAGACTACTTTGGGGGCGACGATGTGTTGTAGTCACACACACACATATGTATATATATATATATATATATATTTTATATATCTATGTATATAAAAGACAATATTACCCCTAACTTAATAGAGCAATGATTAATGAAGTTTGGACAAGGGACCTAATTCGTAACAAAAGTGAAACCTGTTGGTCCCGAAAGGGTCTACAAGATAAGACACAGTTTGTAGAAGAGGGGGGGATGAATACAAACACAGAGTTTTCAGATTTAAAATATATATATTGATAGAGAAGATCAATACATATTTTACAAGATTGTTTACGGAAAGATAAGGTAAAGAAAACCTATCTAAACAACCTTTGGTTACACACAGATCTTTAGCAAATACGAGAAAAGATAATACTAGAAAATAAAGATCTTTTACTTAAGCAAGGAGAGGCTTGAAGTAAGAATAGCTTAGCAAAGAGATGTGCGCGTACATGCTCTCTTGCATGGAGAAGAAAACACTTCTATTTATACCCAGTGCATTAAATGAACATTTAATGCAATAAGGTAGGGTATAGAGTGCGTGTCAAGCCTTAAGAGGAAGGCTTGTCCTTTGCAACAGTAAATAGTACAAAAGTACTATTTCGAAGCAGACATCCTTACCTAAAGTTGGTAGACAAAGAGTCGATTAAACGGCTCCGTACCGTACTAACTTTAGTAAGGGTATGGGTTTGTCTTTTGTGTACATAAAGACAAGACAACAACTGTCGTGCTAAGCAAGCTTCTTTTGATTGCTGAATGCTGGAATAACCTGGAGGTCTCATCATCATTCGCTGAAGCTAGAGCAGTCTTCAGACATTTGTAGATAGGCTTGTAATCACTGAATACCGCTTCAGATCACGTACTTGCTAGTCTCTAATCTTCAGTTTCAGTCTTCGACATTCGCTGAAGGTTCTTTGGTGTGAGTGTTGT